ATATAATATACCTCGACAGATCTAACTTTAGAAAAATGGAGTACATGTACATTGAACGAGCCTCGATTACCAATACCATCACGATAGCCACTTCGCGAAAGCATCGTAAATTAAACGGAAACCGCAATTTGAATAAAGCGTACGAGACTGCTAACGGGAAACTTTATTTTCCAACCATTTTTCCCGCCAACTGCCAGCCCCCTCCCGCTCGCCGCTACCCCCCGCGTCTTTGACCGCGCGTTTTCATTATCGCGTTGCATTTGTTTCGCGATTTTCGTTGCGACCGCGCGGCATTATGCATCGCACAAGCTCCTTTTAACTCGTTACACAAGTAACTAAACAAAACGGTGGAAGGTAGGCTACGTATTGAAATAAAAAGAGCGAAGTTGTTCGCGGTTGTTTTCTGTCTCGTTAAACGTTGCTTTTACACGGACAAGCACAGGCTTTCTGCAACCGCTGCGAGCTGTTTTTAACGCTCTGCATTATGCAGGATAATTCATCAAAAGTAGAACGCTTAATCGTTGCATTTAACTGTTATAAAATAATACGTCGGCCCGGCGAAATTCCTCGATTTGCGAAATTTTGTAACTGCAAGCGGAATATACGGGACAAACGGCGAGAAATTTTCACGTATAAGCGTTACTTCTTCATTTTTAACAACGAAATCGGTGACCCTTGAATCTTTCGATGTATCTACTAAGAAATAATAATTGATCATGTAAGTGTTTTCTTCAAAATTTGAAAATGAAGATCGAAAGATTTTCAGCGTTTTCAGTTCTTAATGCCTCCGTGTGTAAACCAGTTTTAATTGCGTATGCGAATCACTGTTCCGATTTAGAATAACGCAATAAATACGAAAATTCTCTTAAAGCTACGCGTTACGTGCTATTTATTTGTTATTTTCGATTGAACGTTATTTAATATTCCAATTAACCCTTACACGATGTCTTTATCAATTACCAGCATTCGTGACGTATATATACTTCGACGAAATGTGAATCTCGTTACCTAACCTAAAAATAAACTAACCCGTTAATAATAAGAGAGACTACGATTTTGCTCATTCCTCTATTTATAAGTTTAATAATAGCATACCGCCCTCTGGCAGGCATAAATGTTACGAAAACGAAGCAGACATGATCGAACGATAAAAGAAGGTAATGTTATAACAATGGAATATTATTTAAACGTGGTCATGTGCGCCCGCGCGCTCGCGTAATGACGAAACGCATATGGAAGGAATCATAGTCGAGATAAAAGAGTTCCATGAGTCATACATGTAGAATCTTGACTTGATGATCGTAAGTGATCCTTGACGCTTAACGGCTCCACGACCTCGATTTTGGTAAAACAAGCGGAAATTGGTTAAGCGTCCGCGCGCACTGCTTTTGTGCAATTGTATGCGTCAGCGAATCTCCGACAATAATGTTCGTAATTCGGAATTACCATTTCACGAAAGCATTCTCTCGGGTTGATTCGTGTTTACGCGAAATCTCGTTCGATAATGTCACGGAAAAATTGGAAACTATTTTACCGACCGTAGTAAAAGCCTAACATCGAAAAAAAGATTTTGAATCTTCTGAAAATATTGTAGATTACGACTGAATAAATTAGAACGGAAAACTTTGCGGTATAAATGTTGATACATATATAACTGTAAATACGCCATTAATCGTGATAAATGTTTAACATTCATTAGACTTGAAATACGTTAGAACGAAAGTAAAAGGTTATGGCCATCGAAGAAATGAACAGACCATAAGGAGAAATTGGTTTGTCCTCAGAAAAGTGAAATCCACATGTTACGTGATGCATGGAAAGCGAATATAGATCAAAGAAAACTAAAATACGTTTTGCTTTATTAACCTTTACGATTTATTATTCTAAATTTTATTTTAATTTCGTTTTGAATAAAACAATTGCGATAAATGGTTAAATGAATTATCTAAGTTGAGATAACTGTGATTGCATCGAATCACGTAGAAACTGTACATGACCGTTTTAATGTAATAATTAAATTAATAATTTTCCAAAATTATTATTACATATTATTAATACGTAGTAATAATTTTATGTCGGTTTGGTAATGATTGACAACTTTTGTTGCTTGTTAACCTCATTATGTTTTAAATTATATTTTGATTTTAATTTTAGACAGTACGAGAAAATAAAAAGTCACGATCTTCCAACAAAACGAAAGGTAATAATTACGCTAGTTACTATAATATATGATATAATACGTTTAAACTCGTTTTGTTTCAAATTTATAATTAATTCTTTGAATGTTACTTTCTACTTACGTTACAGTCTTCTGACACGTCTGAAAATTTTGAGTAATGTAATTTCTTTCTTCGTATGCCTCTACTCACAAAGAAAATTATTACGAAATATTAATAACATTTTTGCTCAATGAACAAACCGCACTAATTAAAAATAATTATAAGAACTATACTGACATACAATTTCAAAAAATCCGTTTGAAGAAACAGAAAACTGTGAACGTAATCTAGTGGTGGAAATTATAAAATTCGAAAGAATCAACAAATAGAAATATCCCGTCGATAAAGATGGTTACTGTAGTTTAATAAAAATTTAGGAGTTTTAGGATTTCAATACTATAATTTTTATATTAAAAAATGTTTTTCGTTTAAAAATTAAACTTTTATCGATTATATATAAAATTAATTTTGAAATATAACTGTTATAGTACTAAAATGATAAATTAAAAGTATTTTTAAGTAAAAACTAAAAAACAAAATATTTTTAAATGTGGGTGTATATATATGTATGTATACATGACATACATATATATTAATAATATATAATATAAATACAAATTAATATAGAAAGTCATACAAAATTTTTATTGAGAACACGACCATATTTCAGTCTTTCGTGTTCCTCCTTCATATAAAATTCAATTTGCAATATATCATATAAGGAATTATTCAATAATCTTATTCATTTAATAATATATATTTTTGATGACATTGATAATCATACGCATCTTATAAAAAGACATTTTTTAAAACTTTTTTATTACATAAAATAGATAAAATAACATATTAAAAGTATAATCCACTTTTCTTTTGTGAATAATGCTTTTCTGAATTCATTTATTAACATTTAGATGTTAAATTACAATTATATTATTGTTATAATTAAATATTTCATTTACTTTTTTATTACCACTATGGATAATAATATAATAACCTTGTTGTTTTTAAACAATTAATAAGCAATTACAATTACAAAGAAAATTTATAAGACTAGATGTCAATACTTTAATTAAAGGAAATGAATATTAAAGAAAATACAGCATCCTATCGTATGGTATATCAATGCCAATATTAAGATAACTTATCATAAAATTAAACACATATTAAATGACTCACCGAAACATTTGTGCCAATGTAACTACTTTAGTGCCACAGCAAACGTGCTTACAAGTTACCTATGACAAAGAAAGATATTCATATAAAAATTAAGATTATCATTTTTATTTTATATAATGTATTTGTAATGTATTCACATTTGTTTCATTATTTAAATAATAAAGTATTACTATGAAATATTGTAAATATAAACACAAAAAAAAAGAATACAAAAAAGGACACTAAATAATATTAAATTAATTATCAACTTTAAAGCAAACATTATATATTTAATATATCATTAATATATTATCATGAAATAAAAATAAACTTGCATTTTTTTAGCAATATAAATATATACAATAAGCTTTGACATGTGTTTAATGGAATAACAACAAAAAGCTGCAAATTTTGTTACACCTTCATAACAAAAAAAATCGATAGTAATTTGCAACTACTACTTGCTACGAATTTAAGGTCATATTATATAAAGAATTGATTTGTAATATAAAATTTCATCAATTAAATTATCAAAGCTATACGTAGAAAGTTTGATTCTAGTCGACAAGAGCGACTACTCGGTCATTGTATACTTGCCAAAGTCAAGGTCGTCCAACTTGCCATTGTAAGGTCAAGTCGTCATGTTTACAATGTCAAATCGGAACTGTAATTCACGCGACGTTGCACACACGCACATGCCCACGCACTAACATTTCCAACGAACTTACGACATTGTTCGTAGCTAAAAAAAGGCAAAGCATCCCGGCAGGACTGAATAACCCCATTAAAAAGTTCTACGAAAAAAAGTTAGGTTAGATCAAAACCGAACTGAATAACAAGCCGGTAACAGCATACTGTATTGTGCAATTCTACTTTCAATACTTTCACGATACTTTACGTGACATGACGATTTTTTTAGACTTTTTTCGTCAATAGATCACGACAAATAGCAATTACTAACAATGTAATTACCTATCAAATTGTAGAGTACATGCGTTAACAACGAGTTTTTGCTTATTTAACTTTTTGCTAGCGTGTAATTCGTCTACTACCTAATGTATCTGACATCTTATTGCTGTTACTATATTCTACACACTACCCGGCTATCGTGTCATAATCACACATAAAAAATAATACACGATATTACCACTAGGGCTTCGCGTCTGAATAGTACCAACACTGCAGAAACACTACCAACATGATATTGCAAATAAATCTTAACTGTGTTTTGATTTTTGTAATTTTGTGATCCTAATTATGACAAAAACTCCATTATCACAATATGTATTCATATATGACCATAGTATACACATGATACATAGAAATAAATAAATATACATAAATTTATACTTCTTTAAAATTATTAAGAAAATTTCCTATTATTTAAAAAAATTCAAATAACGATAAGGGAAATTACATATAAGCTGTAATAATTAATAATTTAGATGTATAAAGGGCTTTTCTAAGGATATAATGTAGTTATTATAGAATCCAGTATTATTTTTTTTTTTAATGAAATATTTTATTATTTTTCTATTTTTTATAGAAAAATATATTTTGAAATAAATTTCACGTAGACAAAACATTATTTTATCACATTTTACATACAACAAACAGTTAAAAATATCATCTATCATATTCCTCCAGAAACTGTTTCAAAAGTGCATTATTTAATGGGATTACAAGATGTTCAACACTATCAATATTACGCTTTATTTTCACTAGTTTATGATCTATGAACTCAGTTAATTGTGCTCTTAACGCTAAATCTGAGCTTACGAGAAATCCTTCACGAGCAGCTCGATAAAGGTCTTTAAATGCCATTCCTAATAAGAGAAACAAAATTTTAAATAAATCAAATTAAAAATTACAAGATACTATAAATAATTTTTTTAATAAGTTTCAAATTACCGGTAATATTAGCATTACTGCTGTTATTCAACTGATATTTCACAAGCAATACGTAGATTGCCTTGGCATTCGAAGTTAAAGAAAGGAAAACATTATGAAGAGATGACACAGCAAGAGCACCACTTTGCTGAACCATAAGTGAACTTTCATAAGATGTTTCTTCTTGATAAGATAAAAATGTTGTTGTGTCCCACCAAAAGAAATTAAATTTAGAATGTTTTGTATGATCCCATACTAAAAACGTACAAATATACAAAAATGATTAGAATTAATGCTAAAATTAATGTAATGAATTGATGTAAAGAAGTAATGTATTAATATTTAAAAAAATATAAAAAAATGAAGCATACATAGTGGAGCATTTATATGATCTACTGATGCCAAAACACAAATATTTGGTACACTTGCAAGGCAAGACAATAAATCTTGAGCTTTATTTGAACGTAACATTATGCCATCTATATTATGTATTAATAAATAAAGTCTGTCCTTCGGATTTTTTGTTAAAACTTTTTTAATAAGATGTATACATTCAGTTGTGTTGCTAGAGCAATTTAACTCCAATAAATCAATAATTATACCATCCAAAATCTGAAATATATTACATCATTTTAATATTTACATTTCAATTCTATTTGTATAACTTACATCTTTTGTAGTTAAACTAGGAAAAAATCCATTTACTACTAGTGATGGATGATAAGATATACTCTTATGAAAATCATTGATTAAACATCTCTTTGAACCTAAACCATAAAGTAATATAGTGTATCCTTGCCTACAAAATAAAGTAATATTACTATATTTATTACAAACCAATAGATTTTAATATATTATTTATTTTTAATACTTACTCCATAATAAAATACCACATAGGAAATAATGAAGTGTAGTTTTGAGTTAATGAGTAAATATTTTTTTTATGTTGTGAGGACACATAATTTTGATTTGCTAACAATTGTTCTAATTTTTCTTTTGTTAACCGAGTATTATGTAAATATTCTAATGTCCGGTCAGATGTAATTATTTTCTCAGATTGTGTAGCAAAGTATTCGTCACTTTGCATATGCTTCAACAATATAAAGAATAACAGTGAATAATTTAAGTACAATTTATACCCATTTATGTTTATCATCTTCTACTTACAAAATCCTTGTAAATAACTGAAGGTTTATTTTTTTTGTTTATTCTTTTTGGTGTACTCAATATGTTTGATTGCAATATAAATTTTTGTTTTCGAAGCTTTGTTTTCATTTCATTTGTTTCATCATTACTAAAATCTGTATTTTCGCTCTCAGTTGTTTCATCTTTGCTATCTTCAGATGGTACATAATCACTATGTTCAGATATACTCTCACTTTCACTTGAAGTTAATCCAGTTTTATATCTTTTCTCAATAACAGCACCTAAATAAAGAATTAAAATTATCATGTTATATTGATATCATTGAAAGAATACTATATTAGTTTGTAAATTATTATACCTCTTGCAACCTTTTGACTTTTCTTAAGTATTTTCAAGTTTCTTTTGTCGTTTAAATTTATTTTTTCAAGAACTACTTTAGCTACAGGTAATGTAGTTTTATTAACAGGTGTACGACATAAGTGTGCTTTTTGTGTCATGGTACTTTTTTTAACAGGTGTTTGTAATTTATATAATGCCTCTCCACTTACATCGTCATTTGAAAACAATTCTAAATAAATAATATGTACTTAACCCTTGAAAAATTACAAGAATAATGTGATAACGAAAATATTTTTAAAAAATTACCAACTGGTTTTTGTATATTTTCTTCTACATTTTTAAGTTCTTCTTTTATTATATTTACTGAATCTACATCAAAATTTTCATCTGAATCTTCATCTAAATTAGATGATGTATACTTTGTAGATGGTCTTCCTGTAATACGAAGCATTATTGATAAACAAATTATAAATAAATATATTTTTGAAAATTAATATTTCAATATATCATTATTAATTTTATATATATATTACCTTCTACGCGGGCTTTTATTCGAGAAGATCGTCGTAAATTTTCAGTAATAGACATTTTGTATATTTTCTAATTATTTTAAAACTGAGCACCTAAAGAATTAATACTGATTAAAAAATATTAAAATTGCAGTCTAAAAAATAGGCGCTTTTAACTAAAATTAATCAATGATAATTAACAAACCTAGTTTAACCGCTTGACGTACATACTCCAAAAAGTTACATCTGTTACGCCATCGCGCGGAAAATCTTATATTAAATAGACAATAAATAATATTTTAACAATACAAATTAGATATGATCGTAATAAATTTGCTACATTGAAATATCTATTATGTAAGTTACTATATAAATTATGCAATTTTAAATCAATAAATTTCAATATACCGTAATTGTAAACCGTACTTTACTTTTCTATAGTTGTTAACATTGCAGAATATCCTTAATAACGCTTAAGAACTAAACTATTGTAAAAGTTTAAAGTGATATATCGAATATTGTAAGGCACATGTAGTAGATTCCAACCTATAAAGTATTCAGATTTGTTTTTACATTTATTGTGATGTTGTTATTAAATTTTAAATGTGCTAGTAGAAAACGTATTTAATAATAACACGTGAAAATTTTACTGATTTAAATACTGCATTTATATTTATACCATATACATTTAATGTTATATTTAACTCATGCATATAGTGCATTAGACAGTAGTCCTTTGAAATATAGAGTAGTATGTAAAAATTGTGCAAATTATATTTTATATAAATATTAATATGTGTATGTAATACTGATAGTTTAATGAATAATATTATATGTACCTGAATCTTAATAATTTAAAGACCTTAAAAACTACAAATAATTTTATTGAATAAAAATTAAAAAATATAATTTTATAGTCTTATCAAACATGACTGATCTAGATGTGGAAGATTCTTTAACTAAGTTAAATACTCAATTAAATAAAAGTATGGTTTTGATGGATACTATGGAAACTGAAATATCTCAGCCAAAAGGTAATAAATCTATAAAAATTAATACAAAAATTCAACCATTAAGCCCCTCTAATTCAACACCTGCATCTCGAAAAAGTATTCTGAAGAAAACTAAGAACACAATTATAGTAGAGACAGAACAAAATGTCACAAATAACATTGAAATATTAAATGAAATAAATCATAATAGAACACCAATGAATATTTCATCTACTATAAGACCACATAATGTAAGCAAAGCTTAATATATATATTTTTTACTATTGACTTTGTATCAACTTATTTTATTAATTTTACTTCAGATCAATGATTTGATACAGAAAGAAGATTTAATTGTAGAAACTACAGATACTACATTTAGCTTAGATGATTTATCTGATAATGAAGACATATGGATTATGGATATCCCTGGAACAGTGAGTCAAATGTATTTGGATATAAAGATAATATATTGTTAATGTAAGTATTATATCATTTGTAGGTAGATCCAAAAGAACTTAAAGGCCAGACTTTAATGTTTGGAGAAAAATCTAAATTTAAAATTAAAGAAGAAAGATATTGTACAGTGAATCATGAAGTAAAATGTAATGTTACATGTGTACTTCATACTGGAAAAGTAAAATCAAGATATAAAACTGGTAATTTGATTTTTCTTTACTTAAATATATAATTAGTAATTTTTTATAACATTTTGTACTGTTTTTATATAGTTAATATGAAACCAGCAGGCACAATTACTGTCAGACGAAAACTTTCAAGTATTTCGAAAACTAAACCAATGCAAATAGAAAACTGCAGTGTGCCATTTCCAAAAAATTTGAGAATTCGACATCCTTTATTTGGTGTAAGTTACGAAGGTAATGTCAGAAAAATGTAATAAATGTAATAAAATAATTGGTTTAAAAACCAAAATGGTAATAGGAAAATACAACATAAATCATACTGTTTTAAAACTATTTATGATTGGTAAATTGTATAATACATTATCGATAAAAATTTATTGACATCCTTACTTGTTTATATGATATTAAATTAACATAAAATAAATTGAAATATTAATTTTGGGTGATTTTATATTAACTTGACAAATGCAAAGAAAAATGTAAGGTTAGATTTTTATATTTTTAAATAAAACATAATAATTGATTTTAGATTATCATGAAAAGTAGTAAAGATGTTATTGTAATGTATCCCGTATTAACAACAAATGTAGATTGATAATTAATAATTTTAAAGACAAAATTTGTCCAATGAGAATATACCCTAGTTTATCCGATACTAGGAACATTTGTTCTTAACGATTGGTGTCACTGTGAAATCAGTCACTGATTATTTCCGAGTGCGCGGTAAATATAAAATAGAAGAAACTGTAAACATAAAAATTTATAGTGGACTTTCAAATATCACAAAAACATTCACTAAATATTCATTTTATATTGCATATAAATATGAATTTATCAAGTTGAATAAAAAAAGAATCGAAGGTAAAAATTTTGTTACACATAATAACGTAATCGAAGTTTTGGTTGACATGCGCCTTCAGAATCCTTTACCTATGCGCCTTTCTTTAAATACCAGTGTATGTAATGTCCGCTTCTGCGCAGTCGCGGTGCGCATGCGATCAGATCTAGAAGACTGTACAAAAATTTCCCAGTACAGAAAAGAGATTTGTTAGTGGAAAAGTTGTAACGTAAGTAAACAAGAGTCAAAAAATTTGGATTGACGAATGCGTGAACATAACTCCAGAATCGACAAAAACAGTGGCACGCGATTTTCAAATCCTAAGGATTGTCAAAAAGTTATCCTATCGTACGAAGTTAAGGTTAAACGAACCAGGTATACCCTGTAACCAGTCCAGGGTATTTAGCAACCCCTCTGACGACAAATCATTCAATCCTTTGTGACGTTCGCCGTGAACCATACCATGTTAATCGCGCAACTGCAATTTTCCTTTCCATAAACTGAATATTTAAGTTGGGGGCTTTACTTGTTTGCGTTCGAATTAGGATTACGTTTTTCAAAAGTAGGTACAGGAGACATGAGAGATCGGTGAGAGTCTTTTTCTTTTACGCGCAAGATCAAGACAACGACCATTGGCTAAAAAGGGATAAAACGAATGATGGCATCGTTGTTCTATCTATCTTCCTTTTCGTATGTCCATTTCTTTCTCTCTCACTCTGTCTCTAGCCCTCTCTGTTGCTTTTTCTCCTCCTCTCTTTTCTTCCCCCTCTTTC